CCACCGTGCCCCCTGCCCTAGCTATTATTATTGCAGATTTGGCTTCATTTAAGGTTTCCCCCCTTCATAGAGGTTTGTTTTTGTTTGTTTGTTTTTCACCAAGTCTGGATATTCACTCATAAGATAGATTGTAGAGAAGTGAATTGTTCAGGTATAGGATGGACTAAGTTGATTTCAGAGATCCCAACTCTTAGACCCCGTGCTTCAAGTCCGGAGTTCTTTACAATACCATTCTGCCCATCACTGTCTTCTGTGGCTTGGCATTCCATTTCTGGGCAATTACAATTGTTTTTTTTTAAAAACTGCCTTATATTGGGCTTAAATCTGCCTCTTTAACTTCTACTCATTGGTTCAAGTTGTATGTTCCATAGCCAAGCAGAGTAAATCTGATTCCCTCTTCTATACGACAACCCCTGTAACTGAAACTGAAATATGGGAAGACTGCAGTCATGTTCTTGCAAAGTCATCTCTTGTCCAGAATAATCATCCCCATTTTCTACATGGTTTGAGTTTTTTTCAGTATTTTATTATTATAAGTTTCATATGTGTATATGTGTATATCCATACACATTTCCTTACAAATTCTGGATATCAGACCTTTATCTTATACATTTCTTGCAAATGTTTTCTCTAGTTCATTTCCATTTTTTTACTCTAGAGAGAATTCTTTTTATCACACAAAATCCTTTCATATTTACATTATCAAGCCCTCAATTTTTGCCTCTTATTTCTTGCATCTTTTTGATGGATACTCCACAAAATCTATTTAGTATTCCCCTTTGTGTTTTGGAAGTAACTTTGAGTCCTTGAAGACTCCACCAGGGGTGCATAAGTGATAGAAAGTTCTTCCAAACTAGAAGAACTTCAGTTATAGTCTTAGCAACAGTTTACTGACTGAGGGCCAGCCTAGATGATTACAAAGGTATCAGTAGTGTGTTGACCATTGGGTGATAAATTCTTTGGCTATGGAGACCCATGAAACATATACTAGTGAAAAATGCAAGAAAGGAAAGAGAAAGGGAGGTAGAGAAGAAAGGGAGGAAAGAAATAAGCAAGGGAGAAAGGAAAGTAGAAAAGAAGGAAGTGAGGGAGGAAGGGAGAGAGAAAAGAAGAAAGGAAGCAATGTAGGAAGGAAGAAGGGAGGGAAGGAACTGGAAAGAGGGAGGGAAGGAAGGATTTGTTAAAAACTTGCCGTATGCCAAGCATTGTGCTAAATTCTTTACAAATATCTCATTTGATCTTTACAACAAGCCTAGGAGGTAGATGCATGCTATTATTATCCTCATTTTATAATTGAGGAAACTGAGACAGACAAGGGTTAAGTTGATTGTCCAGGCCTTCATTACTTTGTGGTCCTTTCTTATGCTTCTTCAGTGATGATGGTGGTTTGGTACAAAGGAGGACAAAACTCACCAAGTACCATAGTTTTTAGACCATGTATAAACACGCACTGGCTGGTACTCTAGACATGAAATCTATGTCCAGTGTCTAAGTTGAGATGCTACTTTAGCAAGTGAACCATATCCATACTTACAATTTTGCATTATAAATGAAAATAGAAAACATAAGGTGTAGCTAAATGGAAGAATAGCTCATAGTTTCCCCTCAGGGAGGTGAATGAGTTTGCAGAATTGGTTTCATTTATTCTCAAAAACAACATGAAACCCCATTTCATGGAGCTCTTGGTCATCTTGCCTTGCTCATCATAAGTAGCTGAGTTAGAGCAAAAAGGTGAATACAAAGAGGGTTTTGGCTTAAATGATGCCAAGTGGCACAGAGGAGGATGAAGCAATAGAGAAATCATAGAAAAAAAAAACTTGACAAGATTCTCCAGATCAAGTCAAACCTTGATGCTAGCTATCATCACTGTAAAGGTGAGCACACAGGAGCATGGTGAAATATGTGCAACATCTCTCAAATACACCCCCTTCTCTCACCTTTGTAACATCTATCAAATATGTCCCCTTCTCTCCTCTGACACTGCCACCACTTTAATGTGGGCCCTCATCACTTCACACCTGGGCTATTGCACTAGCCTGCTGGTGGGTCTGCCTGCCTCAAGTCTCTCCCCACTCCAAGTCATCCTCTATTTAGCCACCAAAGTGATTTTCTAAAGCACAAGTTTAACCATGTGACTCCTTTCTCTACTCAGTCAACTCCAATGTCTCCCTACAGTCTCCAAGATCAAATACAAAATTCTCTGTTTGGAGTTCAAAGTCCTTTGTAATTACCACACACACACACACACACACACACACACACCCCTTTCTAGTCTTTTACACCTTACTCCCTACAACATGCACTTTGATCCAGTAACACTGACCTCCTTTTTGTTCCATGAACAAGACACTCCATCTCTCGGCTCTAGTCTCTGGCCATCTCCCATGTCTAGAATGCCATCTCTCCTCATCTCTGCCTCCCGGCTTCCCTGAAGTTCCAGCTAAAATACCATCTTCTATAGGAACCCTTTCTCAACTCTTCTTAATTATCTTTGTTAATTATTTCCTATATATCCTGTATGTAGCTTGTTTGCATATGTTTGCTCATTGTTTCCCTCATTAGATTGTAAGCTCCTTGAGGTCAAGGACTGTCTTTTGCTTAATTTCATGTCTCCAGTGATTAGTACAGTGCTTAACACAGAACAGGCACTTATTGACTGACTGACTGACTGATATGTTGGAAAACATGGTTCAAGATTAAGAAGTGAAAGAATCCATAGGCTTCTCAGAATATGCAAGTGTGTCTAACTTATGGATCACACTACTTTCTTCAAGAAGAAAGTTGGAAGTCACTAAACATGGCAAACATCTCCCCAAAAATCACAAAATATAATACTGAATATAACTTAGCAGACAGGAAAAGACTAGTTACTACTGTGCAAAGCCTCCACTGACCCACTGCAGATGAACATTGCAATATGCAGGCAAACATGCAAATTTTCAGGCTTATGCGGTGCCTGAAAGTAAGCATGCAGTGCCTAGAGTAAGGACCAGTGAATTAGCATGTCTGTATGTCCATTCCACAAGGGACAAGTAGTTAAAGGATATGGACAAATAGTTTTCAAAATAGTTTTTTTTTTAAACTCTTACCAGCCGTTTGGAATAGAGTAATGCTTTGGACTCACTTTTCTCTCTCAGGGCAAAGCTGGTTCCGTGGCCTCCTCTGGGTTCTAAGGGTATCCCTGAGGGGACTGAGGAAGTATCTTTTCTCTAATACAATCATTCTCTCTAGGCAGCTAGGTGGAGCAATGGATCCCATCTTCCTGAGTCAAATCTGGCCTTAAACACTTCCTAGCTGTGTGACCCTGGGCAAGTCACTTCACTCTGTTTGCCTCAGTTTCCTCATCTGTAAAATGATCTGGAGAAGGCAATGGTTAAACCACTCCAGTATCTTTGCCAAGAAAATGCCAAGTGGGGTTACAAAGAGTTGGACACAACTCTGAACAACAAAAATCTTTTTTTTTTCTCGCTGTCTCCATTTCTCTCTCTGTCCCTCACTTCCCCTTTTACTCTTTCATCCCCCTCACCTCCCAGTATATTGTTGGATTCTAATAATTTCATTTATTTTCTTTTCATTTGTTATGAACTTTCCTTGTGAATTTTCCTTTTTCCCTTTTGATATTAGCGATTTGGTTTTCCTTTCTTCTTTTTTTTTAATTTATTAAGTGCTTACTCTGTACTAGGAATTATACAATGCAAGCAAGCCAGTCCATGTCCTCAAAGACCTTACATTCTGATGGGAGAATACAACCCATAAAAAGAAGATGTAAACTGGGGAATGGGGGAACAGTATGAAATGATGCATAGTGAACTAAGCAGAACCAGGAGGACAGTGTTTTACAATGAATACTCCATTATAAAAGAAAATAAGTGTGGAAAAAAAAACTTAAGAACTATAACCAATGCAATGATCCCTCTTTTGATGATGATTCCTGCTACCTGCCTCTTGGTATAGATGTGATGAACTGGAGGTCTATTAGAAAGTTTACATTTTCAGACACAGAAGCAAGTAGAATGAAGTTCCCAAGGGAACATAGGCAAGAAGAGCATTGCTGGGTTTACCGTGTTAAATTAGAAATATTCATTGAAAAAAAAGTTCATAGAGGAGATTCATGATTTCAGATATAGTCCTCTGTTTCTTTCTTTGTGTGGGGAAATGTTTGATATTTATCAAATTCATAATCATAAAAAGCCATAATAACAATAATAATAATTAATAGACAAAGGTTCTTTTTCTGCCCCTTTTGGCAATCCAACCATTCACATTCAAATGGGGGTAGTATCCTGCATCCTTCACAAAATGATTTAATCCTTTTTCTTTACGCAACAATTGAATTTCTATTCCTAAAATTAATTTTCAACCTCATTTAGGTTTTTTGTGCACAAAAGTTCTTTACCCTTTCAGCAACTAGACTGCTCCCGTAGGAAAAAGACAGTGCCTTATCTTAATATGATGATAGTAATGAAACAATCTCTTCCCATGTCTTCTTTGGTACTGTTTCTTGTGTATGTTTTTCTGGATGTTTTAAAATTATTATTGTTGTTGTTTTTATAGTTGTAAGTGTGTATACTGTGGAATTTGAAAAAATTCATGTGATTATAACAATTTCTTTCCTAACTCCTTGGAAAAATTTTTTAAATATCTTTTTTATACCCATTGGAAAATACTCAGAATCTACAAGGAAGTGATAAAAATTTAAGAGACTACCCATTTCCCAAAGGACATTTAGTGATTATTATCAGATTGTTATAAGCAATATTTATTTTGAAGATTTTATTTCTGTCATTCTTGTTCAAGAATTTTGATTATTCCTTTGATTTGAGATAAGCAAATCCATCCACCTTTTTTCATGACCTTGTTTATTTACTGCATTCTTTCCATCTATCAGCAGGACTTTCTTCCATACCTCCCTTTTCTTTGATATTAAATCCCCAGTTTTTCTGAATTGCCCCACGATTCACACAAAAGCAAACAGAAATGTTTTTTACTCTTACCTTTAGGTTCTTGTTAGTCGGTGAGCGTGAGAGCCTATGTCAAATTGTAGGTGAAAACCGGGTTGGGTGGAGTGAACCTCTTCCACATTGCCAAAGTAAGTTGCTAACCCAAGCCACAAAAATTCACAGGGTGAACTTTGTATTTTGCATAGCAAATACAGTTTAAAACTGCCTTGCCAAAGGAGCATTGGCGCGTATTTTGCATACTGTGTTAACTTTTATTTAAACCTTAAACACTCAGAGCATTTATTTTAAGAATGAAGGTACTATTCATTCTGAGATTTGCAACACAAAAATTTATTTTCTAAAGCTATTAAACCCAGCTATCTAATGAATGCCAGAACTTATTCTGAAAGAGAAACATCAGCCCCATATCTGGTAGGCAATATGAGGTTATATCTTTGTATAAAGAGAGGAGCTTTGCCTTTATAAATGTCAGCACCTTGCCCTTGCCCCTCACTCTTGTTATTTTTCTCATCTATGTAAATGCCTTTTCAGTATTTTAAAATGTTCTTTACCCACTGATATTGATCGTTGAAATATACATCTTTATTCCAAACTCTAGTTTTTAAAGTTTCTGTTATACATTATATGTCAGATGGATTACAAATCTTATTATTATCTCTATGTCTATATTAAATTTTAATTAAAGGAAAAAGTAGTCAGAGAATCTATTACTAATTTTGTTAGTCATATCATTCAATCAGTTTGGATTTCCTTTGGTATTGCTTGGAGGGATTTCTTGTGGATTTTCATTGATAATTTCTTTCAGATTTTATTGGTCTTTGAGGTTCGTTTTTCCATTTTCAAATAATGGGTATGTTTACAGGGCATGTAATTTTGGGATACAATCCAGTTTTTAATAGTGTTCTGTTATCTTTTGGTTTTACATTGTCTAGATTTCTCTATTTCTCCTTTCCCTTCCTAGAACAAAGAATTTTTAAAACAGAGGAGCAAAAAGAGGAGGGGAAATGCAATAAAGCTGATCAGTGCCTCTCTTTCATTAAATATTCATTTCCCCCGTCTGATTATACTCAATTTTGCTGGGTAGGTTATTCTTTGTTGTAATCCTAGCTTTCCAGAATATCATCTTCCAAGCCCTCCATTCCTTTATAGTGGTAACTGCTAAATATTATTTTATCTTGACTGTGACTCCATAGTATTTTAATTCTTTCTTTCTGGCTACCTTCAGTTTTTTCTCCTTGACCTGGAAATTCTGGATTTTGGCTGTAATATTCCTGGGAGTTTTCATTTGGAGATTTCTTTCAAGAGCGGCGTATTCTTTCATTTTTTACTTCACCTTCTAGCTCTAAGATATATGGGTAGTTTTCCTTATAATTTCTGGAAATATGATGTCTAGGCTTTTTTTTTGTTCATGACTTTCAGTTAGCCCACTGATTCTTAAATTATCTCTCCTTGAGCTATTTTCCAAGTTGGCTGTTTATCAAATAACAGATTTCACATTTTCTTCTATTTTTTTTAAGTCTTTTGACTTTATGGCTTCTTAATGTGTCATGGAGTCATTAGCTTCCATTTGGTCGATTCTAATTTTTAAGGAATTATTTTCTTCAGTGAGGTTTTGTACCTCTTTTACAATTTGGTCAGTTCTGATATTTGAAAAAAATTATTTATTTTTAAACATTATTTTCTTTTTAAATTTTGAGTTCCAAATTCTCTTCCTCCCTCTGACCCCCTCCCATAACCACTGAAAAAGTAAACAATATGATATCAATTCTACATGTGAAATCATGCAAAACCTGTTACCCTATTAGCCATATTGCAAAAGTTAAAAATAAAACAAAACAGGTGAGACAATTATACTTCAGTCTGTAGTCATTGTTCATCAGTTCTCTTTCTGGAGGTGGATAGCATTTTTTCATCATGAGTCCTTTGGAACTGTCTTGAATCATTGTATTGATCAGAGTAGCCAACTGTTTCACAGTTGATCATCGTTACAACATTGCTCCCAATTGATGAACATCCCCTTGATTTCCAATTCTTTGCAAACACAAAAATAGTTGGTATAAATATTTTTGTACACATAGGTCCTTTTCTTTTTTCTTTGAACTCTGGGATACAGACCTAGTAATTGTATTGCTGGGTTAAGGGGTCTGCACAGTTTTAAACTTCTTTGGGCACAGTTTTAAGTCATTCTCCAGAATGACTGGACCAGTTCCCTGTTCCACCAACACTTCATTAGTGTACCTATTTTCCCTCATCCCCTCCAGAATTCATCACTTCTGATAGGTGTATGGTGATACCTCAGAGTTGTTTTAATTTGCATTTCTCTAATCAGTAGGGATTTAGAGCATTTTCTTTTTCCTGTGACTATTGATAGCTTTGATTTCTTCTTCTTAAAACTGTCTGTTCATATCCTTTGACCATTTATCACCTGGGGAATGGCTCTTATTTTTATAAGTTTGACTCAGTTCTCTATCTATTTGAGAAAAGAGGCTTTTATCAGAGAAACCTGATATATAATTTTTTGCTATTACTTCGTTGTCTGTGGTACCTTTTAGCAAAATGTAGTTTCCCTGATTATCTCTTTTAATTAGATCTGCTTTTGCTTTTGGTTTGGCTGAGATCATGATCGCTACCTCCGCCTTTTTTACTTCAGCTGAAGCATCTTAAATTCTGCTCCAGCCTTTCATTTTACCCTGTATATGTCTTTCTGTTTCAAATGTACCTCTTGTAAACAACATAGTGTTGCACACTGGCTTCTAACCCACTCTCTCTGCTGCCTTTTTGTGACTGAGCTAATCCCATTCACATTCACACCTGTGATTACTGTGCCCTTGCCCGGTTGTTCTTTTCTCTCTCTTTTTGTCCTGTCCCTCCTCAAAAGTCCATTTTGTTTCTGATCACTGCATCCCTTAATCTGCCCTCCCTTTCATCATCCTTCCTCTTCTCATTTATTCCCTTTCCCTCTTATTTCCCTGTTAGGTAAGATGGATTTCTATACACATCTGAATATGTTTATATCTTCTTCCCTTTTTGAACCAATTCTGACAAGAATGAAGTTTAAATACTTCCTGTCTCCCCCACCCCACCATTTCCTCCTTCACTGTAAAAGCTCTTCCTTGTGCACCTCTTTTATGTGAGAAAATTTTCCTCATTCTCCCTTTTCCTTTCCTCCTCCCAATATACTCCTCTTTTTTGTCCCTTCATTTTTTTGGGGGGAGATCATTTCAACATCTACTCATACCCATTCCCTCTGACTATGTAAACTCATTTTAACTGCCCTAATAATGATAAAGTTCTTAGGAGTTCCATGAATCATCTTCCTAGGTAGGAATGTAAACAGTTTAATTTTGAGTCCCTTATGATTACTCTTTCATGTTTACCTTTTTATGTTTCTCTTGAATCTTGTGTTCCTTTTTTCTCATTTAATTTTTATTTTATTTTTTCTCAATTATATGTAAACAAAAATTTTTAACATTTTTTAAAATTTTTGATTTTCAAATTCTTTCCCTCTCTCCCTCCCCTCCCTTTTCCTTGAGAGGGCAATTGATTTAATATAGATTATAAATGTATAGTCTTGCAAAACATTTCCATATTAGCCATGTTATAAAAGAAAACAGACCAAAAAAACCCCAAAAACCAAGAATAGTAAGTTTTGTTTACAGTATGCTTCAATATGCATTCAGACTTCATCATTTCTTTCTTTGTAAGTGGGTAGCATTTTTCATCATAAGTCCTTTGGAATTATTTTGGATCATTATATTTATGCTGTGTTGTGTTTTTCCCTACTTAATAAAATTTTTAAAAAATTTTCCAATTACATGTGAAAATAGTTCTCAACATTCACTTTTATATGATTTTGATTTCCAAGTTTTTCTCTCTCCCTCCCTCCCTTCCCACCCCTTCCCCAAGACTGCAAGCAGTCTGATATAGGTTATAGATGTACAGTCATATTAAATATATTTCCACATTAGTCATGTTGTAAAAGAAGAATCAGAACAAAAAGGGAAAACCACGAGAAAGAAAAACCAAAAAACAAGTGAAAATAGTATGCTTTGATATGCATTCACAATCTATAGTTCTTTCTCTGGATGTGGATAGCATTTTCCATCAAGTCTTTTGGAATTGTCTTGGATCGTTGTATTGCTGAGAAGAGTTAAATCTATCATAGTTGATCATTGCACAGTGTTGCTGTTACTGTGTACAATGTTCTCCTGGTTCTGCTCACTTCACTCAGCATCAGCTCATGTAAATCATTCCAGGTTTTTCTGAAATCAGCTTGCTCATCTTTTCTTATAGCACAATAGTATTCCATTGTACTCATATATCACAACTGGTTCAGCCATTTCTCAATTGAAGGGCGTCCCCTCAATTTCCAATTCTTTGCCACTACAAAAAGAACTACTATCAATATTTATGTACATGTGGATCCTTTTCCCATTTTTATGATCTCTCTGGGATACAGCTCTAGAAGGGCTATTGCTGGGTCAAAGGGCATGCACATTTTTATAGCCCTTTGGGCATAGTTCCAAATTGCTCTCCAGAATGGTTGGATCAGTTCACAACTGCGCCAACAATGCATTAGTGTTCCAATTTTCCCACATCTTCTCCAACATTTATTATTTTCTTGTTTTGTTATATTAGCCATTCTGATAGGTGTTATGTGGTACCTCAGAATTGTTTTGATTTGCCTTTCTCTAGTTAGTAGTGATTTACAGCATTTTTTATATGACTATATATATAGCTTTAATTTCTTCATCTGAAAACTGCCTGTTTATATCCTTTAACCATTTATCAACTGGGGAATGTCTTGTATTCTTATAAATTTGACTCAGTTCTCTATATATTTTAGAAATGAGGCCTTTATCAGAAACATTGGCTTCCCAGCTTTTTGCTTTCCTTCTTATCTGGGTTGCATTGGCTTTGTTTGTGCAAAAACTTTTTGACTTAATGTAATCAAAATTATCCATTTTGCATTTCATATGTTCTCTCTCTCTTGTTTGGTCATAAATTCTTTCCTTCTCCATTGATCTGGCAGGTAAACTATTCTTTTATCTCCTAATTTGCTTATGTTATCTCCCTTTATATCTAAAATTTAAAGCATGTATCCATTTTGACTTTATCTTGGTATGTA